CCATTGTGGTTATGATAACCATGTGATATAAACTAACAAAGGAGACAACAACAGGTATTCAAAATATTTTGGGTTAAAATAAATTCTTATATGATAACTCTTGTCCTACAAATAAAAATAAAATATAAGGACAAAATAATAAAAGCAAGATTTATAAAAGTTAAGATTTAAAACATGTTTAATGACTAAGATATTAAAGCTATACCTACATACATTTGTATGGAAAATTAAAAGGTTGTATAAATAAAGTATAGGCAATTCTTTTTTACTTTATGATGTTTTTTGATAAACTGCCTGAGCACCCAAAAATTTGGAACCATCAGTAAAGGAGTATAATATAATAAAGATATAAATAAAAGCCTTTAAAAGCCTTTAATACTATTTATTCCTCAATGTAATGTAAATGAGATTTTGTTTACTATGATCAGTAACTCCTTGCTATTTTGCAAAAAAGAATTACATAACAGGCCTCCTGGGTATCAACAGTATTTCAAATGTCATAGATTAAACCACAGTGTTTATCCTTAAATGTCCTAAAATTCATTGATTATGCATTTATCAAATCAGAGACACTGTTTTTTGATACATGCAGAAATACTTTTAGTAACTTTGCCAGTACTAGTTTTCACTTCAAATAGAGGCCTAGGCCTGAAAATTTCATTTAAATACTTAAAAAATGTTTACCCCAGGTCACCTCCTGGCTTAGGACTTTAGAAAATAATTAAAATTTTAAATTACGCTTGGACCTCTACTTTTAGTTATGCTAAGTAAACTACAACTCAGTTACACAGATAAGTTTTATTTTCCTCTGTTCAGATTTTGATGCCAACCTGACAGTCACTAGTTGGAGCTTATAATTAAAAATATAACTTAAAAAGATCAATAGAAGTTTAATGTTATGAGTTAAACTCTGGCCAGGGTTTTGGACAGATTAAAAAAAAAAACAAAAAACAAACAAACAAAAAAAACAGAGATCTATATTATTCCAGATAAAAAAAAAAAGGCTAAAAAACCCCCACAAATAAATGACCAAGGATACAAGACAGGAAATAAACACACAAACAAAGAAACCTGGAAGGGAATAGAGATTTCAGAAATTCTGGTCCCACAGGGAGCATTTGCTCTAGAGCAAAGATCACATTTTAAAGTTTGTCTTGCCTTGAAGCAAAGACACTGGTTTTCATATGTGCACAAGCCTGTTGCTGGCTCTACAGGACTATGTAATAGGATCAAAGCCCAGAAACTTTGGTATGCAGATGGTAGTTATTGGTAGCAAACTATGCAAATACTAGGGACTGACTGTGACTGTTGGATATAGATGGGATGTAAATGATTATTTTTATTCTTGTTAAATTCTTCTGTTAGGCTTATAGTACACACAATCTGAAACCCCTACTGTTAAGTTCAGAGTTTCTAAAAACTAATATTAAAATAAAAATGCTAATCAGTTCAAAACTAAATTTAAAACCTGGCACAGTGATGCACCCCCATAATCCCAGCACTCAGGGTGGCAAAGGCAGGCAGATCTCTCTGAGTTCCAGGCCAGCCTGGTCTACAAAAAGAGTCCAGCACTGTCAAGACTACACAGAGAAACCTTGTCTCAAAAACAACAATAACAACAAAACCCCTAAATTTAAATCCTAATCTTACAAAAGCCACTAGCATGTTATAAAAAATAATCATGACATACAAGTTAAGAGTCATCTTATAAATGATTAAACTTTTTAGTATGCTCAGAGATATACTTGTTGTCATGCTAAGTACAAATATAATTCATTTCAGGGACAAGCTTTGCTTAGCCCTCTGTATATGTTTTCAAGGTTAAACTTAAAACAAGTAACTAAAAACAAATAAATTTATTTAAAAGAAGTATACTTATGAGATGGTCCTAAAACTTCTCAAAGATCTATTGAATGTCATTTAAAATATTTAATAAAGCTTACCAGGATAGACTAAAAGACCAGATCTTAATGGGAGACCTAAGGTTTCCTCCAAAGAACATGACTCTCTTGGATTATGGCAATGTTAATCACAGGCCAAGACTGCCTCATGCTTTGCCCACCACCAGGACCCCACTTATTCTGTGGATAAGCAGGACAATAGAGAACTGGCTACCCCTCTTTGCCTTGCCAAGGTAAGCCAGTCTCTCAGGTTCCTCACCCACAAAAATCTTCTGGACTTGATAGCCAAAGGCCAATGCTGTACTATGTAGCAATCAAAGAGTTAATGTGACCTTATGTAACTGATGAAGAATGAAGCCACTCCAACCAAGATTGCTGAGGAGAAGCCTGCGGTAACCATCCTGATAGCAAGCAAGTCTCTGTTGCTTTAGTTACTACAGAGGCCATTTGGTTTATCAAATTTATCCTTCTCAGATCACTGATGGTGTTGATGGCTACCAACAGTGTTATCAATTTAATACTAGTTGATTTGTCAATGCAGTTCAGGCCTTGATATTTTTAGAGCTATTCGGTCTCCTCATTAAAAAAAAAAAAAAAAAAGACAATTTCACAGACATGTTTGCTTTGCTGACAAGCTAAAAAGATAAACAGATTTCAATGGAACTTTTTATTGTTCCTTTGTTTAAAAATTTTTACTTTGCAGTACTAAAAATGTTTGAAGCTTATATAATTTAGAAGGATCTAAAAGATAATATATAACATTACAATTTCCAAAATTCATAATTTTAAAATATTAATAAAATTCTGATAAACTATTAATCTAACTCTGGTAAATCACTATTGTTATCACAGGTACAAGCTTAAAATGTAACAATTTTCTTTGGATATCTTCTAAATATAGACTTAAAGATGCTTTTTATTATGCTAAAACATTTCTAAACAATGTATGTATGTATCCAGACCCCAGGAAAGAGATTCTCATGTTTTTTATATAGAATTATCTTTTTAGGCCATCAAGCTTTTACTGTGACTCTACTGCCTATTTTACAATATTGATTTCTGTAAAAATTACAGTGATAATACTAATATATCTAAAAATTATCTTTTTGTAAATTTTAAAAATTCATATCAGCTACAAAAAGCCACAACTTGGATCTACCTGTCACAGATCAAATGGACTCCGGATAAGTACTCCTGTCAATCAACAGCTTAAACAGCCATACCTACTACTTATTCCTGAGGGGTGAGTTCTAAATGTGAAATTTTCTTTAAGTTCCTAAATTTTAGCTTTTGTACCCAGTCTACATCTGTCCCACCAGATTTTCACTTGGCTGACAGACACCATCCAGGAGTCAGCTGCAGACTGCAAACTGCTCCAAATGGCCATGAGCAACTTGCTGAAGTCTGATGTGAACCTGTCCAGTTGATATAACTGATATAACAGCTGTCTCTTCAGTTAGGTCAATGAAGCAGATACTTCTGATGAATTTCCCCCCACTGCCTGAACCTTCATCCCTTGGCCTTTAGTTGTCATTCCAGACTTCATGACCTCAGACAATGAAGTGCTAATTTCATCTGAGAAACAGTTACTCAGAAGAGAAAATGTAGTCCTTTATCCTTAACAAAAGGCTGGAGTATTAGGTCCAAAGGAAACTCATTACACTCTACCAAAAAGTTATTATATGACATCAAAGAGTTGACTTAGGATACAACTCAAGCAGGGACTGTGATGGTTAATACTACATTTCAAGTTTAGATTTACTAAGCTTGAGAGACCAAACCAAAAAATGCCTTTAATATGTAAGCCCCTAGTGTGTACAGGCTATATCCCAGCAACTCAATTCCCTCCCCCAATGCAGACTGTTGAAGACTATTCTTAAATTGACTGATCTTGTAAAGTTTGCTCTTCTAGCAAGATAAAAGGTCTTAAGACTGTTATTTCTGCATTTGTAATCAAACTTGCTTACTCTGCTCGATGATTAGGACAATTGCAAGACCTGTATGATAAAATTAGACCCTGCCTACATGTCGACAGAGTACATATATTCTTGGGAGACTTTTTGACTTTATAAACCTTGGACTGATACGACTAGATGCCGAATTTTGGGAACACTCTCAGCAGTTGCAATCCTGGTGCCTCGAGTATCTGGCGTCACTATTTAAGAAAGCTGCTGCTTATTAATATTTATTAATAGTCATAGAGAATCTCTGAGAGATCCCAGATCAATAACATGTTAGTTTTTGGTTTACTGAAGTTTTATTTTTTATCACCCTTTGAATCTGGTATGTTTTCTTTCTCTTTCTTTCTTTCTTTCTTTCTTTCTTTCTTTCTTTCTTTCTTTCTTTTCTTTTCTTTTCTTTTCTTTCTTTTTCTTGTTTGTTTTTAAGAGACAGGGTTTCTCTTTGTATCCCTGGCTGTCCTGGAACTCACTTTGTAGAGCAGGTTGGCCTTGAAATCACAAAGATTTGCCTGCCTCAGCCTCCCAAGTCCTGGGATCAAAGGCATGCACCTCCTGGCAACCTGTATGTTTTCTAATGAGAGATAGAAAGGGGATGGATCCAGATGGAAGGGGAAGTGAGGAGAAAACTGGGTGGAATAGAGGGAAGGGAAACCATGATGAGTATATATTATGTGAGAAAAAATGCATTCATTAAAAGTAAAAAAAATAATTGATACAACTCCCATAATAGAAAATAACTACCATCATCAATACTTTCTGTGCCTACTTCTCTTTAGATTGATTCCCTGCTTACAGGATGACTACTGAATCCCTTGCTCAAAAGATCAGGTGAGCCTAAATCAAGAAGCCTTAAGTAGACCACTGTCTTACAACTATTATGCATGGAGGCTACTCATGTATGCAAGCAATACTTATGACTTAGAAATGTCACCCTATAAAACAAGAACGTGTCATTCTATTTAAATGCTATTTCCTGAATAGTGTACATGATGTCCTACAACCCCCCAAAGAGCACAAGAAATTAAATAACTTGAAATGTCATGTTTTTATTGTTAACATGAGTGCTGAATAGTTATGCTTGCCATTGGGCATATGGGCCACCAAATTGCCCTTTGGCTCCTGAAGAAAGGTTGGCACTCTAAAGTGGCTCCTCCACATCCGCCATAAAAATGAAATCTTCGACACCTGGTGGCATATTTCTTAACATTGCACGTCTCTCATTCTTCCGCTCTTTGGCCCTGCGGTTGATGAACCATACCTAAAATCAGAGGATGACAGGATTGGGTTTGGCTTTGGCTTCCACTCTCAGAGCCAAGAGATAAAAATCTCTTGAAGGCTCATAACACTGAAATGTCTATTCAGCTCACAAAAGTAAGCACTAGCTATGTGCCTGCAATAGGCCATGATTTTGTCTAAATACTTCAGTGGTTTCTCCTCTACTGGATGGAAAGATTAATTTATCACTTGTTCCAGGTCCTTGATTCCAATTCAGTATATGGTAACTGGATAAAAGAAAGTCTTCATTCTCACATTTGACCTCATCACGAGTGATACTTTCCTATTGTTTGGGCAGATACTGTAGATCACAAAATGTTAGTTCATGTTAAAGTCCTATTGAAGGGAACAGCTTTCTATTTGTAATTTAGCACTTTTAACTCTGATGTTCTGGACACAAAACAGAAAAATGGGGACAATTTAAGAATTAAAGGAAAGGCAAGGATATTTTAGATAGTAGTATAGTTTGTCTCTGGCTAGCTGAGAATCAAGAATTACATCAAAATGAACAACATATGCTATGAAAGCTTCCTGCTTAGAGATGATATCCCTTTTATGTAGAGATGTTTCAAGGTGTGTATTATATATCTATAAACTTAACATTCAGGAGGTAGAGGCAAAAGAAACATTAGCTCAAGGTCGTCCTTAGCTACACAGTGAATTTAAGGTCAGCCTGACATACCTGAGACCCAGTCTAAAAAACACATAAATACCTATAATCTTGAAACAAGAAAAAAAAAACCAATGTTAAAATAGCACCGAGTCATGCTTAAGTCTGCTGAGTCTCTGCTCCAGGTTGCATGGTCACTGCCACCCCTTGAGTTAATTTAAATATTTCCAAGGTCATACCATACCCAAAATTACTTCACATAGATAGTTCCCCTAAATCATAGCAATGAAAGTAGATAACATTTAACTATCTGTATCTAAGTACATGTTCATACCTAGACATAATATATTACATGTTATATCTGCATACACAAAAAGTAGAAAAAGTTTTCTTTCTTTTTTTTAAAATCTGGTTGTTTATGAGGATTTCTGCAGTAATGGTAAAGAACTACCAACTAGAGTACTGTCATTCTATTTTGCATCCTCAAATGCAAAATTCAGAAATTATTTGGGGGTTAGAGACATGGATTAAGGGGTAAGGTATGTTCAACACAAACTCAGGGATTGAGTCCAAATCTCCTAGGACCTAAGTAAAGCTGGAAGGGATAACATTCCTATGATGAGTGAGAGATGGAAACAAAACCCCTGGAGATTTATGGACCAGCTGATCTGGCTTGTGCAGTGGTGAACAACAAAGAGCCTGTATTTCAATAATGTAATAATGACAGCTATCCGAGGTTGTTCACTGACATCCACAAGTACACAATGCATGACAGAGTGCTTATACACTCAGATGCAGGAATGCACATACGTACACGTACACCTATGTGCACATCCACACATTATGTTCGTCAACATAAAAATAAAAATGAATCCCATTAATTTGAAAGTGTTTAGGACAAGGCTATCCAAATCCTGAGGAAGGCTTTAGACTGAGTGCCCAACTGCGTGTTTTTTGGTTTTGGTTGTTGTTGTTTTTTTTATTTTTTGTTTTTGTTTTTTATTTACTGACCTTTACTTTGACTTCAGGCACATTTAAAGCTCGGGCCAGCTCTCCTCTGTGGAAAGAAAACCACAAATGTTTAGCATTTAGTGTTTTATATGAATGCAACCTCAGATATGAGTTTTATGTTTCTTAACTATTAATATCTTCCCTTGCAACTCCTTAAACATTTAAATTTCATTCACAGAACCAGTCTAAGTTTTGAAATTGTTTCACCCTATTACAAAAGTTTGTAATCAATAGTGAAGATGAATAGTTTTAACACACTAATAATAAAAATAAATGCAGAAATCTATGCCAAGCAAATTATACTAATTTAAAAAATAAATTGAGAAAAAAATAAAAACATATATGACTAAAGTTACACAGATTGAGCAGGTTGTATTTATGTATTTAGAAATGCCTATACACACACAAACACACACACACACACACTCACAAAATCATTGAATGTGAGAAACACAAACTGAATGCCTGATAAAAGCTTCTAGAAAGACGTGTGACAAATCCATTAAACAAAAGCCATAAAAGACTAAAATGAAAAAAAGACAAAAGACTTGAGACAGTTCTCTAAAACAGATAAACTAACAAACAAAACCTATATAAAAAGATACTGAACATCACCAATTGCCAGGGAAACAAAAGACAAATAAACAAAACCTACTCTGCCCTTATATCCAGTAAGGCATAAGGTTACTATGAACTTTAAGGAAAGGACAAGTATTGATAAGATGGTGCAGACAGTGAAAAGTTCATGTGCCTGGTTGGCAGACATGCTAACTCATCCTCCCACGAACAGAAAAAGAGACAAACCATTAATAAAAACATCAAACTATCATTTGATCCAGCATTTCCACAGGTAAGCATATACTAAGAACCCGAAACCAGGAGCTGAAGAAGTGTTTGTCCACACTTGCCCACAGAAGCAAAACATAGGCACAGAGGCCACAAGATAATCACAAACTCCCCCATTGCTTATTGTTGCCCCCTTCTGTCACAGAGGCTGAGGTGGAGGCCACTGCCCTGCTCACACCACACAAGTCTTAAAACAAAACATCAACTACCAGTATTATGGAATAATGTTCAACTTTTAAAAGGAAGGAAATCCTGACACTGCCAGCAAACAACATACAAGTCTTAGGCTATTTTAACAAGCAATAAACTGCTACAGAAGGACAAAGATGGTGTACTTCCACTTGCACACTTTATCTAAGGTACTTAAATTCAATGAAAGAAACTGTAGCAAGGTGCAAAGCAGTAGGGAAGGGGAAAGGGAAATGGAAAGGAGTTGACAGATGGGTACAGAGTCCCTGAAAAGATGATGAGACTACTGATGAGTGGTCACCTAACAAAATACAAATACTTAACACTGACTTGTAAACTTTAAGCTATCCAAGTAGTTCAGCAGACTATATTCATTTCTCCATATTTTACCGAAATTAAAATACGATTCAAAGTGAGTGAGAATGTACAATTGACTCCTGTCAGCACTACCTGCTAATACTGCTCCTGGCCCCCACACAAGGCATCCTCCCATACCCACCACCGAGGGAGATAACACTCACTACTGGGAGAAAGGACCATAGTGAAAACAGGGCCTGAAAGAACCAAAGGGCACTTCAACATAAGCTGAAGCCCACGGACTTTGGGGCACATACCTTGTAAGTACATCAGGGTACTGGGTTTCCTCAAACAGGTTTTCCATTTCCTCCACCTGCCACTGTGTGAAATGAAATGGAATGCGACGGTGCCGGCGAGGAGGGCGAGCCCGAGGAATCTGAACTGGCTCCTCCTGTTCCTGCTCCTGCTCCTCCTGCTCCTGCTCAGGCTCCGGTGCTGGCTCCAAAATGCCACGATCGCTAGTGTTCAAGTCAAGGTCGCCATTGTCTTCGGTCTTCTCAGAGTCGCTGGTACTTTCTTGGCTCCAGTCACCCTCCTTGTCATCGTCATTCAGGTCACACATGGCAGCGGGGCCTGTGGCTCCTTCACCTCTATGGCCCTCGCCGGTCACCGCCCCCACCACCGTGGCCGAGGTGGAGGCCACAACTCCCTGCTCTCCACCACCATTGTTATCTTCTTCAAGATCTCTCACATTAAAATAGTTGTCGTCAAAATAAACCCTGCTGGCCATGCCTAGAACTGGGACGAAGCCACGGATAGATTTAGGGCCCCGGAAATGACTGACCTTGAAGCCTAGCGAACTGACTGTGCCGCAAGAGAAGGCCTCGGCAACGGCAATGTTAATGAGAACTACTGCGCATGCTCCATGAGTTCTCGCTTCTTTACATTCGATGGCTTCACCCTCCCTTCTCGACGGGTGCCTGTTGGCTTTTGACTTAGTGGTTGACCGCACCTTGCCTTTTCTGCTCACTTGATTGCAGTAGTTTTTGTTTAGTCATAAAGCAGTAGATTGTGGCGCAAAAGATAAGGGACCAAGGGAGAAGCTGTGGACGGGGATGTGAAAAAACAACACGGAGCTAAGCCGTGCTTCTAGGGAATGTGTCCAGAATGAGCTTTAACGTGCATCCACGTGTATGCATGCCCGCTGCCTATTCCTTGTAGGTCATAGAGATGATCCTGATGGGTGGATTGTGCAGAACTGCAAAACAATTCGGGAATAGAGTATAGGAGAACGTGAGAACACACACTAACCACAGGATTCTTGTGTGAACATCTATAAAATTCTCTTGGCCTCACCTTCCACCTACCAGTGACTGCTCAGAGCATGGACTGAAAATTAAGTGGCTATGATCAGCTTAATGGCTGCTAGTTCGAGTCCCTATCAGTGCACTAAATGCTAACTAGCTTAATTGTTCTTCAAGCACAACCAAGATCTTGGGACTGGGTCTGATTTAGTTAATGGCACTGCCAAAAAATAACCAAGTGGTGGTAGCGCACGCCTTTAATCATATTACTCAGGAGGCAGAGGCAGGAGACCTCTGTGAGTTCGATGCTGGTCTAGTGTACTTAGTGAGTTCTAGGACAGCCAGGGCTATACAGTGAAACCCTTCCTTGAAAATCAAAACAAACAAAACCAAAAAGAAAAAAGCAAAAACAAAACTCAAAACAGAAAAAGAAAATGACACTACTCCCTCAAAAATTAATTTGCATAAAATATCTAACTACCCCAGAGTTTTCATAGTTAGTCTCTGTTAGATTCCACGTGAAATCTTTGTCTCAGTTCTCATCACTGAGTGAGTGAAGGTAAATAATGTAAATTATCAGACTTGTTTTGTTTTGTTTTTCAAGACAGAGTTTCTCAAGACAGGCTGTGTAATAGCCTTGCCTTTCCTGGAACTCACTTTGTAGACCAGGCTGGCATCAAACTCAGAAAGATTCCCCTGCTTCTGCCTCCCGAGTGCTGAAATTAAACTCGTGTGCCACCACATCAGATATTTTAAAAATATATTTGGGCCATAGTTCACATTATACACATGATAAAGGTATAAAATGAGTGGATAAATCTGTTTATAGTTACTGAATAGGGAATCATTTGATTTTTTCAAAGTATTTTGTTTTGAATAAGTATAAAGATGGAAATCTCTAAATAGCTTACACAAAAGTTTTGGTTAAAAAAAAGATAAACATTGGGAGACTGGATAGCGAGATGGTTGAGTGATCAAGAGCATTTGCTGCTCTACTAGAAGACCAGAGTTCAGCTTATAGAACCCACATTAGCTAGCTCACTACCACCTGCCACTCCAGCTTCAGTGCATCCAATATCCTCTTCTGGATTCTGAGGACACCCACACACATGTACAAATATCACACTCAGGGCATGGACATAGCAGTTGACACTGTGTAAGTCTGAGCATGGAAGAGGACATGGAAAGACTTTGTGGTCATATCCAGGTGCCCCATGTGAATTCCAGGATATTATGTTTTCTCTGGGAAAGCCGAATCTTCTCTCAATTCTGAGTCTGCAGGTTCCTCTTCTCTCCCCAAAGGATCGGGCTCCAATATCCAATAAGTTATCTCTCTCTCTCTCTCTCTCTCTTTATCTCTGTGTGTGTGTGTTCATTTCCTGATGTAACTACCTATACTGTGAAGTGTGAGTTGGATTAGTGGGCAAAGGGTGAGTGCAAAATACTGTCAGGAACAGAGATCCCTTGCATAGAAGCCATAGCAATGGAACGTAATGGATGGTGGAAGCAGCCAGAAGGACATATAGCCTGGTGTCAGTCCAGCAGCCCCTAGATTTCCCTGATTTCACCCTATGATTCCAGAGCTGAGAGACTATTTTCCTACATATTCCAAGTGATTGTGGGTTAAGCTCCCTGCTCAATGACCTGAGCAAAGGTTGTGCTCAGGCCTTATTCCTCACTACTTGGCTTATTTCACACCCTTTCTGTGCCAGGATATCCAAGGCTTCAGTGGCCTTTCAACCACTGGTTGTAGTAGTGAATCTAACACCTTTTGAGTACCAAAGTAATTATTTTTACAAATTTCATTGAATGATAAGAGATTTGTGTAAATCAGTTTTATTGGTTCCAGAGCCTGAACAGAGTGAGGAGTATAAGGTATAGCCATATATCTGACCATTCACATGATCTTTTTATACTTGGTTCAAAATGCACTCATCATATTAATAATTTTTGATTTTCCAAAATACTATAAAAAATCATATTCATCTGATGTTGTGAGTCCTTGATGCTCCTTACATTTGTCACTGGGTATAAACCATCTCTAAAATAAGGCTTCACCTGAATAGTACAGAGTATGTACCAGGCAAGAGGTAGAGAGGGTCATATTAGATGAAAATGAATTCTGTATCATTTGTTTAATCCATAATTTAAATTGTGGAGTATGTGTTTATGTGTGCATGTGTGTGTGTGTGTTTTCCACCTAGAAAGGAACTCTGAACATGACTGAAACTAGTTGTAGGCCACATGCAGAAATATATTTTGCAAAGCAACCATTCTAAAATCTGGTGCAGATTTTGTCTTTCAGAATTTGAAGGTCATGTATTTTGGTTTTGATTTTTTTTCATGTTTATGAAATTACAAAGTTATTGGTGTTAATGAATAATTATAGAATCTAGGTTAGGAGTAAATGAGTTTCCTCTTTTGAGTCTCTGTGCGTTGAAATGTCTGACATTTTACATAATTAGAGAGTATAACTCTCTATGAATGGGGTTAGAGAAATGACTTGGCAGGTAAGAACAGTGGTTATTCTTCAGAAGACCCAGATTTAATTGCTATCATTCACACTGTAGCTCACAGCCATTCAATAATTCCAGTTCCAGGGGATCTGAACCCTCTTTCTGGCCTCTATGTGATGCATGCAAGAAAAACTCTCATTATATAAAATAAAATAAATAAATTTAAGAATCTTTCTAAAGGAAGTACAATGACCAGTGTTCAAACACTATCATAGCCAGGCAGGTAACAAATTAAGAGAAACAACCAAAGCCAGTGCAGTGGCACACGCCTATAATTTCATTTGGAGAGGCAGAGTTCAAGGCCAACCTGGTCTATAAGAGAGTCTAGGACAGCCAAGGCTACACAGAGAAACCCTGTCTTGAAAAACCAAACCAAACCAAACCAAAAAAAAAAAAAAAAAAAAAAAAAAAAAAAAAAAAAAAAAAAAAAAAGAGGAGCACGCAGAGTGGAGACTGTGGAAAACTGGGAAAGAATATGTCTCTGTACCTATGGGCAGACCCTGGATTTGAGCACTGAGACAACATGGACAGATGGTTTCATTTTTATGGTCCAAACAGAAATATTTGTAGGAAACTTTAAGGTGTTTAAATTTTGACAATTGTGCCATTGAGTGTTGAAAGTATATGATCTGCCTTTTCATTTCTATTTTTACATGGGTTACAGTTAAGAGCTTGCTTTCAGTCTCAAAAGAGATTTAGAACTCTGGACATTTAAACAATGTGGAGAATGGGGACTTTTGAAGTTGGAATAAATGAAATTTGCACATATATATGCATATATTCAAATATACATAGATATAGATATGTAGATAGATGTAGATGTAGATATAGATATAGATATAGATATAGATATAGATATAGATATAGATATAGATATAGATATAGATATAGATATAGATATAGATATAGATATAGATATAGATATAGATACAGATATAGATAGATGGCTACAAGTTTCTGGAGATCAGGGAGTGGTGGAATTTGGTGGTTTGAGGGAAAATGGAATGGCCTCCATAGGTTCATAGATTTGAATACTTGGTCACCAGGAAATGGCACTATTTGAAAATGTTAGTAGGTGTGGCCTTGTTAGAGGAAGTGTGTCATTTCTTTGGCCAATGCGAAGCCCAGGGTCACTCTCTCTTCCTGCTGCCTTCAGATCTGGACTTAGAACTCTCAGCTACTTCTCCAGCACCATGTTCTCTGCCACCATGACAATGGCTTAATTCTCTGAAACTGTAAGCCAGCCTCCAAACAGACCCAATTAAATGCTTTCCTTTATAAAAGCTGCCATGATTATGGGGTCTCTTCACAGCAATAAAACACTGACTAAGATAACAGCCTATTCAAACATGTTTTGTAGAGAAGTGTGCTGACCATGTAAATGAGATGTATAGAATTTCTCAGGCAGCAGCTCCCAACATGCTAGCTCTGCCAGACAACCAATTTTAAGCCATCTTCATTCTCAGGGACAGAAGAAAATAGATGACCAGATGACCATACCTCAAATGTGAAGGATACTAAAATGCCTTTGTTCCTTCTTGATCATCTTTACAGTAATTCCCGCACCCACATGTGTTGTGCTCTCTGTCCATCCTTGCCTCAAGTTTCTCTAACAGAGTTTCTTCTTTCCTAATGCATGTTTGCTGTCAACCTTGTGAGCATGAAGCACCAGTGGGAATGGCAGGAGGCATCAAAGTAAATATCCTACCACCATCGGGCTGCACCCTTCTTTTTAGGACATTTCAAAAATTATTTTATTTTATTTTTAATTAAAATATAATTATATCGTTTCTTCCCTTCCTCTCTAAGCCCCATCAAATGCATGGTCTTTTTTCTTTAATTATTATTGTTACATGTTTGAATAAATACATAAATGCAACTTGCTCTCAGAAAGTTTTTAGACCACTGCGTTGCATGCTGTACTAAGAGGGAAAATTTAGGAAGTTAAAAATTGTTTTTATTCTATTTTT